AGCACAATGATAGATGCTTTTAACACTGACAAAAAGAAAAGAGAAAAAAGGAATCATCTATTCCTTTCATCATCACTAAATCCAATTTTTGACATCAAAGAAAAAACATGATATCAGTGTATATCACACAATTCCAAAATATGATAATTCCATCATATACGGTGCAGGAGGTACTGTAGCGTTGCCTCTTTTCAAGACAAGTGTGTGGATATGGTGGCTTTGTGTTGGGATATGGTAGGGATTGAGTAGTAATGGGTGGGCAGTGTTGGGGAGCGTTCAGCTATCCTGAGGGATTCATCTGATGAGCCAGGATTGGATTTATCTGCTCTGTCTATCGATTTGTTTTTGCCACACGGACACCTCACTCCAGTTTTGAACTTGACTTTTTTCATTTTTAACTGGTTCTGAAAAACGTAATTCTATTGAACACAATCTCATCCCATCTGCGCCGGCTTTGGACATTTGTTCTTGTTTTGATCAGAGTTGTAAGGTAGAATTGTGCTCATGTCCTGCTAAGAGGAAGAAAAAGCAGTATTACAGCTGAGATGCAATCACTTTTGAGAAAGAAACTAATCTTTGGTTCTGTTTCACGATTGTACCACGGAATTAAGACTGACATTTATCTTTTCTTTCCTTTTTTTATTGCATGAAATGGAAGCCTTGTTAGAAAAGCATCTTGTCAAGAGCTGGCAGTGAGTACAGAAGCAGATCAATTCAATGGGTTTGAGTGTGATATTTCTTAAAATCATATTTTGGTTTACGAGAAGAGAGGAACATTTATACAACACACATGCATTTTTGTGAGCATAAAGAAAGGGCATCCTATCATAAATAGTATGCCCATAATTATTTTCAATGACAGCATTTTAAAGTGGTGATATTATGCTCATTTTCAGGTTGTACCAGAACAGGTTTACATGGTTTAATTTAAAAAAAAAAATATTTTTCTCATACTGCACATCTTTTCACCCTATGTGTTGTACGCTCCGTACTTGTATAGTGCCTTTCTAGTCTTTTCGACCACTCAAAGCACTTTTACAGTACCTCTGCATTCACCAGTCATACACATTCATACTGAGCCTAAGTGCTCAAACGGAAACCAGCATTCACACTCATTCATACACTGGCGGAACAGCCAGGGGCAAATCGGGGTTCAGTATCTTGCCCCGGGACACTTCGACACGCAACCAGGGATTGAACCGCCGACCTTCCGATTAACGGCCAACCCGCTCTACCTCCTGAGCCACAGCCGCCACAGCCATACAAAATCTTTGTTGGGAGTTGCACATGCGGAGTTCCCAGGTAAGGACTACTAGCCAATCAGAAGCAGAGAAGGTCGGGTCGTAAGAAACAAGGTAGTGTGATCCAAATCAAAGCCGCTTCAGACTGCGACCGTAACCTAGCAGATGGTATAAGTTACTCAAGTGAACTGTTGCCGGTGTTCTGACGATCTATGCTGCCTTGCCGAAAAATGCTACCATAGCGCAAATCGATAGACTCGGCCCTTTGCCCATTGCAGACAGTACCCAGAGATAGTATGTAGCTTGTCGTCATAGCAACGCCACACACAACGTAATGTTCAATGCGACACACATACCAGCTCTTAAAATATATCTATGGTTAAAACGTTTCAATATTACTCAGAATGTAAAGACAGATAAGCGGTTTGAAAACCTTCCAGCTGAGTTTTCCTCTGCCGTTGTTGCTGCAGCGGTCTGTGTGACGGCGAGAGCAGAGGGCTCTGTGAGCGGGCAGCTGGCCGGCCTCGCACTTTTTCAGTTTGTTTTGCCCTAACCCTGTGTCACATTCATCCTGGTAACATTTTCATATTTTATGAGTTGACAGAAAATGTTTTAGGTGGTTTAATTTTTTTCTTTACATTAATCAATGGAATGTGCTGATTGGAGAGTTATGATTTCTGTAAGTTGACTTTTAACAACTTCTTTGTCAATATCAGTCATTCTTGCCTCCATTTTTCTGCCGCTGTTTTATATTAATGTTGCATGGTAGCTGTGTGGTCCCACTCTTAATTCTACCTTCTAAAATCTAATCAGTAAATCGTTTCTCATATCAGGGGAAACAGCCATCAGTGTGAACAATGCCAGTCCTGTTTGAATCACTTGAGAGGTGGACAGTAATTCAGGGCTCTGAAACCACCTTAGACAGATACTTGGATATGGATCAAAAATGATATCAAATTCTGTAACTTCCATTTTCTTCTCACAGATTCCCATCAACATCAAAAACTTCTTGGATCAGAATATTAGAATATCCAATTTGGCACATCCTACTCGTTAGTTGTTGTGTTTTTTTTTTACACAATTAAGTTTGATAACTTTACTGTTCTTACATGTTTAAAACATAACAACATGGGCTGGATAACATAACCCTGCAAGAACCCAGATGGGACATGGGGACTTCTTCCTATTAAACAGCAAAATTAATTAGGCTGTCACTGTTGAAAAATTCAGTACACACTGTAGCTCTGCCTATAAATGTGACACATATATTGAAAAAACGGGACAATGTATAAGGACTATTGACAGTATACACTTAATTCATCTACGATGAACAGATAAGAGCCCCACATCTTTCTGACACGTTGGACAGTGTATTGCATCCATCCTGCACAGTATCTCCAGGGATGTCTCAAACTGCAGCAGAGCCTTTCAGTGTGCTGGACTGTGCTCAACAAAGACAGATCTCCCTCATCTTAGCCAGTGCTTGAGATTTGAGGGGCAGACTAATGACAGGGAGTTTGTTCTAAGAGTATAGCAGTGAACAATTTAGAAAAAAAGCTGTGTTGACTTCAAGGCCTGCAGGCTTCCAGATTTCTTGTGCAAATGTAGAGAAGGGAACAGGGCACAGAAGGGCCCTGACAAACACAATTCTTCACAGCATCTAAAGGACTCCAGGAGGAGCCTATGTGTTAAGATTCTCACCAAATAATGAAAGTAGCAATCATAGGTGCATCCCAGCAACAAGAATCTCCTTTTAGGTGATATTCCTACTCAAGGGTAAACTATAATTATGGAAGGTTCAATTTGGCACTGAACAGAAAACAAGTATTTAGCCTGAGGTATGTTAATGCAATGTCTAGATCAATTGGAACAGCAGAAGGTACCAATTTGTTTTCAGATACACAGACCAATTTCCTTCTCATTAAGACCACACATTGAGCACCGTATTCCATGCCCACTAAACAACAGAGATGAACAAGTGTTGCTTTCTACACACAGATTATGGGATATGTACGGAAGGCCTCAATAGAGGGCACACAAAAGACGTCCTATTGAGTCTTTGTGCTCATAAGGGAATACGAAAGATCAACTGGCTTGGTCCACTGTTGGCTTGAGTATGCAA